GGGCCGGCGGCAGCGACGACCTCAAGGTGGTGGTGTGGGACTGGGTCCGCAGGCAGCCGGTGCTGGAGTTCGAGAGCGGCCACAAGAGCAATGTCTTCCAGGGGAGGAGGGGGCTGGGGGGGCTGCTGGGAGTGGGGAGATCCCACCTGTTGGGGCCTGCTTGAAAGGCACCTGCTTTCAGCTGTGGGGAGAGGGAGAAATGGGTCATTCACCATCAAAACCTGCTGGTGTGCCCCAAAATCCACACGAAAATCGGGTTGGCGCAGTGAGGTGTTCCCGTTCCCAGGGGAGCTTCCCTGTGAGCTCAGCTCTGGCTCCACAGCTCCTCCAGCCCCATGAGCAGCGTGGGCAGGAGCTGTGTTGGAGCAGGCTGGACGGGCTCTGCCACTGGGACAGGAGGGACCCTTGCACCACCAGCACCTCTGCTGTGTCCCAGCTTTCTATGTGGGATGATTTCTTGGAGGGCTCAGCCTGTCCAGCCGGGACTTTGCTGCCTGTGGATCTGAGCATCCAAGGCTGGCTGGTCTGTTGGGGTCTTGCCCCCATTTTAGCCTGTTTTCTGCCCGGTGTTGAGCCCCCCCTCCACTCGCTCCCTTCCAGGCCAAGTTCCTTCCCAACAGCGGTGACTCCACGCTGGCCATGTGTGCCCGGGACGGGCAGGTGCGGGTGGCCGAGCTCTCTGCCACCCAGTGCTGCAAGAACACCAAGAGGGTGGCACAGCACAAAGGAGCCTCACACAAGGTGAGGGGCCGGTGGGCAGCTGGGACCCCCCAGTGCCCAGGGGACACGTCCCAGTGACAGCAGAGCTGCTGCTGTGGAGCCACCAGTGCTTAAATGCTTCGTTATTGTCACTGTCACCTCTGGGGGTGACAAGGAGGGTTTCTGTGCCCTCAGCCGTGGGTGGTCGGTGCTGCCTCGGCTCCAGGCAGTATCCGTCGGTTTACTGGGAGAAAGGGATCTTGCCACTTTGCTGGGTAACAAGGGAACCAATGCCCGAGTATTTATCTTCCAGCTGGCCCTAGAACCGGATTCTCCATGCACTTTCCTATCGGCAGGTGAAGATGCTGTAGTCTTCACCATCGACCTGAGGCAAGACCGGCCCGCCTCGTGAGTACCACCCTGCCCACCAGGGCTCTCTGCAGGGGGAGCGGGGTCCTGGGGGGCTCCCTGCCTAGGGAGGAGGGTCCCACCTCTGCTGCCGTGTTTCCACAGCAGCACGTGTCTGTGCAATGGTCACAAAGTGGGAAAATGGGCACAAAAATGGGTTTTTGTGTCAGACCAGAGAGCTTCTTGGCAGCTAGTCATTGTGTGAAGATATGGATATGAACTTTGCTAATTAGACAAGTGTGTTTGAACCTCCTCGTCCTCCCTGGGATGGGGTGGGAAGTGGCACTGGTGTGGCAGGTCCCTGCCCGTCCAGCACCAGGCACCATCCTGTGCAGGGAAGAGGCCGGTTAATCACGGCTGAAACGCCTCCACACCAGCAGCAGCTCCGGGCTCACCTGACTCCCTCATTGCATGAGCCGCTATTGCAGTAATTGAAAAACAATAATTAGCAAGCAGCCAAGTGTTGCTCGCCGGATCTGAGCCTGTATCACCAGATCTGTCGTTTCTGATGAGCTTCCAAGACCAACCCGTGGCGGGTGCCGGTGCCGTGGTACTTTTCCCGTGTAGCACTGTGTTGATTTGGAGCTGGTCCTGCCCGGAGTCCAGAGCTCTGCGCTCGCCTCCCGGTGCCTTGGTTTGATTTGTGCTCAGCCTCAGATCCATCTGTTTCATAAACAGCACAAAAACTGCTGGGGCGTTTCAAAACAGATGCGTCTAATCCCGGCCCCCGCTCCCCCTCCCTGCCCTGCCGGGCCCGTCTGTTGGTCAGCACTGGCGTGGGTCTGTCCCTCCTCCTCCTCCTCTTCCTCCTCCTTCTTCTCCTCCCCTGTGGGGATCCACGCTGCCCTTTGGGTTTGGTGGGGAATTCTTAGGGTGCAGGCAGGGGGTGCAGGCAGGCTGTAGGCAGCTCCCATCATTCGTTAAGCTGAATGATATAATTAGAAGAAAGAGGAGCTGGGAAGCTGCCTGCTCCCTCCAGAGGATCGGTTTGTGTCCGTGGAGCCCAAATCCTGAGCTCCTGGGGGAGGGAGGCTGGTGCGTGTGTCGGATTTCGTTAAATCTGGGTCTTATTACAGTGAGAGGGGTGGGGAGAAATGACAGCAGAGCCACCCTGCCAGGGGGATAATCCAGGGCTGCCCCCGCTGCCTGCCCAGCTCTGGCCATGCCCGCGGGAAACGCCAGGGAATGATTTCACTTCGAGCTGCAAACAGAGCATGTGCTCGCCTCAGCTGGCAGGGCTTGGGCTTTTTCTGGTGGTATTTTTTTCTGGGAGTGAGTAAGAGGCTCGTGGAGCTTCTGCTTTTCCCATCTGGACCCTGTTTTGAATTCGAGGTGGATTTTTTTTGTTGTTGTTGTTATGATTTTTCTTCATCTCTTAAAGGAAACTGGTGGTGACAAAGGAGAAGGAGAAGAAGGTGGGTCTGTACACCATCTATGTGAACCCTGCCAACACCTACCAGTTTGCTGTGGGCGGCAGAGATCAGTTTGTCAGGTGAGTCTGTGCTGGGGGGCCCTGGGCTCAGCCCCCGGTGTGGACCTCAACATCCCCAGGGGGTTGTTGTAGCTCCACAAGCCCTGAGGTCTTTGACATCCCCCCAGGAACTCTGTGGCTTCAGCCATTAAAGCCTCCACAGCCCTTCTCTCATCCCAGTAGGAACACACAGGGATTAATGGAGGAGGATTTGGGTCCCTTGATGTTCAGCCCCAGGATCTGCTCCCTGGCCTCCCTGAGGCCAGCAGATCCCGAGCGATGCTCTTAACGAGCTTCCAACAAACCTGGGTCCCTCACCCAGGGGTGGTGCCCATGGGCATTCCAGACTAGATGAAGGCTCAGGGAAGGTCTTGGTTTTAGTGAACTGAGCTTCTAAAGTGGCCCATGCAGCCCCCGCTTGGCCTTCAAAACACTTAGGACAGCTCCTGCGTGTCTGTGTGTCTGTCTCCTCAGCTCCCCCAGCAGCTGGGGGACATTGAGGAGGCACTTTGTTCTGCTTTGGGGTAGAGGCAACTCACACCTGCACTGATTCCAGCAGCACTCAGCTCCCTGGGGAAGTTCCAGGGAGCAGAGGGGACGTGGAGCCCCTCGCTGGGACGGCTGGAGTGGCACCAGCTCCCCGGAGCGCCAGCCCTGCTGGTGTCTGGCAGCAGCTCCTGGGGCACGTGGACTCAGACTGCTCAGCCGTCAGCGCCGGTGCCTCGGGAGCTGTTGGCAGAGCCTGGACTGCTGCTCAGAGCAGCTCCTGGGGAGGCTGGGGACCCTGAGGTCCCCAGGGACAGTGGGGACGTGTCCCCTTGCAGAGCTGGCAGGGCCCTGAGTGCAGGTCATGGCCTGTGCAGCCTTGGCGCTGTCACAGGCACCCACGGTGATGAGAGGTGACATTAAGCTGCTTTGGCCGGTCCCGACCCCTTGCAGCTCCCTTGGGACAGGGCTGGAGCTTCAGGGCAGGTCGTGGGGTCCCCCCCCCCTCCCCTGCCCTACCTTGGTGGGCCAGCACTGC